TGACATGTATAAAAACCGTATTCACTGAAAATGAGCGAAGAACTACATGATTCTTCCAAGTAGCCACTATCCGCTTTTGAAAGGAGCGAGGTCTTGCGGGAAGTGAGCTGACCGCAGCATGTAGAAAGACGGCCTCGAAGTGTATGAAGCGATTTTTTCCAACAAATTCACAAATGTTGGCAGCAAGTGTTCGACTTCAATACTCTGTAGAGAGGAATCCAGCAAATTTGAGTAGGGAGGCTTAGGTGGACACTCTCCGAATGCAACGATCTCTGGACAGCTCAGCGCAACAACTTAGCGCAGCAACTCGTGTGCTAAACATTTAAGATAACGCTTGCAATAGATTGTTGTAGCTACGCCTCTGGCTTGAAGAGAAATTGAATCGTAAAAGGTGAGCTAAATTTTAGCGCGTCTATCTTATGCTTTGCGGAATAATAGTCAGTGTCCTGATTTCCGGCAGCAAGAACCTTAAGAGTTTCCGGACACGACGATATCTGAGATATTGGACCCTGGCTTGATTGAAATGCGATTTTTTCGCAGGACCTTCTTTCCAAGTTGATAGAACCGTGATATTTCTGTGTACGGTTCCTATGAGGTGATGTCGGACGAGGGGGAGGGGTAGGGAATTGCGTAGATATCAAAGAGCACAACAGAGCGAAGAATATTTCAAGCAAGTAGGTGCTTTTGTAAGCAATTGAGATGTTTACTACAACCATTCAAACACGCGGACCAGAAACCTTAAAATGTTGGAGTCCTCAGAAAGACCGAAAAAGACGGAATTTGGAAGCAGGGTCAACGCGATCAAAGTTCATCGAGGGGGACCGAATTTGGGCGATAGAAGGGTAAGATCGCAGACGTCGGGGTGATGTAATGGCGCGTGGAGATGTTTATGAGTGCGGATGTCCAGCGGATAGTTAACACTACAAGGGAACGAAATGTTTGATGAAATGTGGCTGGTTGAAAACGGAATGGAAATGTAAGAAATATTCATCTGAGCTTGCAGGTTTAGGCTAAGGTTTTCAGCATGACACCATAGAGTGAAGCCGGTCTACTGCCACGTCCGCAGGTGCAGGGTATAACTTTGAAGGGATTCTTTGACTTTTGAACACGTATGAGTGCATGGCCCATCTTAAAGCAAAAAAGGTTTATCAAACATGGCGCAAACATGGCGTCGGTCCTTATTTGCTTACTCACAGCCGTGAGTATGTTTAGACTGGGAGCCTGCGTGGTCCCTCTTTCCTTCCTTGCTAGTGTCGAATAATGCTAGCGAAAAAAAGCGGCCCCTTTTTCTGCGTATTGTATATCAATTGCCTAGATTGGGGCTGCAGACCAATAGTGAATAAGTGGAACTTAATGTGCCCCATCGCTCATGGAGCGTTTGTAGTTACTGATCTCTCATCAAATTGTAGAGCGAACAACTAGTAAATACCACTCACCACCAATAGGTGCACTAAATGTGCAAGCAACACCAACGGCGCATGCGGCTGCAAAGCACTCGGCTTTTCTTGCCTCATTTTTGAAAGCTGGATCGAAGTGTGATGCCAGTAGTGAAAGTTGATTCGCCGCCACCGATGCAAGATGCACGAAGGGACCCTGAATGAGACATATGTACTGTGGTAATAAAAAGGAGAGAAAGGCAAAAATCAGTTTTATACATGTTCATTGAATGAATAACTGACCATTTTACCAATTGGAACTCCACTGCCGAGAGACATCGCAATACCAAAAACTTTAGACACCAGTGTTTTAAACGTCAAATAGTCCTTGAGAATCACTCCACGAATAATTGTTTTCATTTCAGGTATGCCAGATCCTGTAATCTTTGTTTTCTTCCTGCTCACAGCAACGCTAAGAAGTCTATGACTTCTTTCTAGCGGATCAGAACTTCGAATTTAGCATGTCAAACACGGAGATGTGTTAATCATTTCTCATTATTCAACGCGATTCAGCTATAGCATTTTACAAACTCAGAGTCAGTGAAAAATGGCTTGCGAAAAAATTTCTACCAGAAACCTTACATGTTAACCACTAGAATTTTCTGGATGTTCAAGAAAACCTATTATTCTTGATAAAAACACTACAGCGACGTCTACCTACACATCGAGTCTTCGGGCGAGGTCAAATTCGTACGCTCTATAATTAGAGCAAACTCTCTGTTGTTGTTTCTGCTCCCTTTACCTTAAATTAACTGTGGAGCTCTTCGCACATGTGCTTAACTAACTCGGATAGAGAGGGTTGTTTCACTATTCGAGAAGTCTGGCATGTTACCGTCGGGCTCATTTTAGCGACTCGAGGTGTGCTTCATATTATTCGGCTACGAAGTCCGCCCGGCAGCCATTTCCGCCATCGTGGCTCTGCATTCCTACTCTGCCATTTTTTGTCAGTTTTCGAGCAAGACTCATTCCATTATATTTAGAGAAAAGAGGCAGTGTGATACAACCACGGATCAACTTCATTGCTTGGCTGCAGCTTTTATCCATAGGCACATCTCGCGACATACAGGGTGTCCCATGCACCATGTTTCTTGTCTTGTAACTTTTCTCAAAATAGATATATCCTAAAGAGGTTCTACACAATTCTTAGCCATACACTTGCGTAGCAGAAATGACACTCATTCAAATCACATCGTTGCTGGTCCGTCTGAAGGCTCCCCAATTGCTTTCGAAAACATTAACCCATTGGCGTGACCGCATGACATCCTATTGTTATGCTGTTCGAAACTTATAGAGAAGGCATCAGCTTAATGGAATGGTCAATGTTAGTAACTGGCTAATGTCCTAGTGACCCCAGCAATAGATGGATCCATGCACGAAACCGTTGTCACCAAGTAAGAGGCGTTATAAGCGATGGCGCTTCATCATCGTTCAATAGGTTAGATAGAGTGGATCTTTCATCAGTCTTTTCCATCAGGGTGTTGATGAGGTGATACCAACTTGCTAGAACCATTCAGGAGGGGTTGCTCCTTTGAAGCAATCTTCTCTTTTATTTAGCTTTCCAAGAACTCCTTAGACATGTTAGTCCAATAGGTTATCCGGATAAAAGTCTGCCATCTAGAGAATATCCTATCGAAATGTCCAGATTTAAGCTAACATTTTGGTTATTTTGATGGACACCCCGCCGTGTAGCCGGTGACGTTTGCAGTGGTAATCTAGCGAGATGAAGCGTGGTAAAACGTTGACGACAGCGTTTCGACTACTTTGGCCACGCGGTGCAGTTGTGCTTATGCTAGAGCGCACGCCTCCTAACATCCGAAATTTTGAGTGGTAACTAAACGTGATGCCGAAGCCCTTCCATGAAGGAATCTAATGCCGAAGAAGTTATTGTGGTGATTGAAATCCAATCCAGAAGAGCATGTAGTGGAAACGAAATAGCAAATAGCCCTCTTCTTATCTGTGGTGGACGTCAAAAGCATTTTTATCGTGATTTCACCAAGAAAAACACATACTTCATCACCCGTGTAGGTTTTTATTATTATCTTATTCGCTGTGGCACAGAAGACATAGCGAAGGACTATAACTAGGTTACATTCCGTAAAACTCAGAAGCTTGCTAAACTGAATAATATTTGACCGGACGGTGATGTCGTATGCAGTCGTTAGGGTGTGATCCATTGAATGTATAGCACTAGTTAGGATACCGCTCAATTTACAACTTCACGGATGCTCTGACCAGAGTCAACCCTGCGTTGCGCAGTTCGCAACGGCACGTTGAGAGATCCTCAACGCACGCTGTATGGGCGGAGACACAGACGGCTCGAGCATGCGAGTGTGAATGTTCGCGCGAGAGAACGTGTCTAATCGGGCGAAACTGCGCAACGTGGCCGTTGAGAACTGCGCAACGCAGGGTTGACTCTGGCTCTGACACCCTTCTCAGGCTGCAATCAGATGAGAGTCCCACCTTAGCGCAGGTAAGAAAAGAAGGTGTGCAGCTGAATGCTCGACAGCGGAGCTGCCTAGTGAGGACAATTTGTAATATTTTATACTTTTTACTTCTGCTTGGGAAACATTATGTATTTGCGCACTGCATAACCTAACATGATTGAAAAATGAAGGATTTTGTAGATTTCGCTCTCCTCAGACAAAGATCCGTCTATATATAATTCGCTAAGTATGTCTGTCTGTGTGGGTGTGTGTGTCTGTCTGTACGTACGTCCGTCTGTCACGAAATTCATAGCGCGCTTCGCTGCAGGCATGGAGCGCTGTATTTTGAGTATGGTGTAGGGGGTGGGACGGCAACATATTTGGTGGGGTTTAGAAAGTGATAACGACTGATAAGATCTGATAAGAGGCGCTGAAACGCAAATTTCACGAAATTCATAGCGCGCGTCCCAGCAGCATGGAGCGCTGTATTTTGAGTATG